GTCAACGCTCTCTGGTTTCATTTAAAAGAGTCGATCATCAGATATTGTCCAAGATTAACCTTCAGGGTGGATATAGCTCGCCTAGCAGCCTCGCACCAAGGACCTATCCATGTCATCATTTACCCAGAATGCTTTGCATGTAAATAAAATGGCCCTGTCCATGTAAAATATTTTTAAACTTTTAGTTTAAAAGTTGTAAAAACTAAACAGCCTGCAGTATTTTTACAGTCTTTATTTTACAGTTTAAATATGTGTTTATTAAATAAAGTCTTATGTTACAACTAGTCGGGGATCCCTTTAATGATCCAGCTACCTTTAGGCAGCTAAAACTTTAGATTTTGTTAGTAAATAGTTTAAAGAACTAAAGTCGGTCAGTGGTGCTGGACTGTGGCTGTTAGTGATTATGTGTTTTAGCCACTAAGTACAGGTGTGGTTTAATGAGAGTGGATGATAAATCACTCAACAGACCTCTGAAAAATCTGTCCCCCTCATAAGAGTGAGTGTCCAAGAGGACATGACAGTGCGTTTGTATATCAAAATACACTTAGAATTTGAAGTATTGCGTATATTTACTATATATTGTGGTAATTTTTTCTGTATTTTGCCAGACCTTTGGGTAAACCCCTTAGATATTGTTGCCCAGCGAAGTGTTGCAGCTGCACTCTGTGAGTTGAGGGCAGAGATGAGTGTTTATCTGAGAACCACAGATGTATGCTCTCTCGTTTTCACTCTTTTACATAAAAAAACCACAATCACATTAATTGTGAAAACCTGCCTTTCAAATGTGCTGAATATAAAGTTTCAGGTTTCATAAATCTCACTGATCATATGTCCTCCTCTCAGTATTTTGGATGTTCTCATCTAAATCATGTATTCTGATGAAGGCAGACATGTTAAATGGATTGTGTTTAATCTTTTGCTCATTTGACAGATGCAATCCTCGGTGCTCACCGTTAATAAATCATCTGAAATCTTTTTACCCATCAGAGCCTTTCACAAATGTTTCACTGGAGCCACTGTCCACCATTTGAACATCAAACATTTAGTAAAGTGCAAAAATGTTAAATAAAGTGCAGGAAAGAAGACATAAATGTTTTGATGTTTAAAATAAATAAAAGTGTAAACTGGAGTCTGCGAATGTTCTGGGAAAGTTTAGAGAAGAGAAGATTCAGTGTTCCGGAGGTTTCTGAACCACATTGACCTCTGTGGAAGGTGTTCTGCTGTCTGTCTCCTCTTGTGGACACGTCTGGGGAGGTTGTCTCCATTGCTTTGGACCTTCTGAGTAATCAGTAGAGGGCGCTGCAGTGGCAGTGTGGTACAGACGTGGTACTAACCAACATGAGTCACAGTACAGTTACTGTAATAAAATATGAGTTTGAACCTGGCCTCCAGGGGCAGAGTGAGACATTTTTACACACAGGGGTGGCCAAGTGTTTTTTTTAGGGGGCACACACAAATAAATAAAACTACTCTGGATTTACAAATTCGCAATTGCCTCCATGGTAAATGGCTCTAATTTAGCAGTTATAAAAAATATTTAGCTGAAATTTTGTGTGTGATTGTAGCTAATAATGATTAAAAAAAACATGCTGTTAGTCCCAGTTAAGATAACTGCTTGTGCTAATTTCACAAAGGGCTATAATTTAGCCATTTTTAAACACACATCTGAAAATTAATGTATAGAAACAAAATCAGATTTAAAATATAAAATCAGAGATGGCTGCCAAAGATCATTTCAAATGGCTACAACTCAGCCATTTTTAGAAATACTGAAAAATTTGTTTTGATGCTAAATTTTTTTTTTAAATTCTCATTAAATACCCATCAATAAAATGTTACATGGAAACACCACCCCACCTGTCAGTCATTTGGCGGATGGCCATTCAAGTGCTGGGGTGACACTTGCCACCCTGTCTTGCCACCCCTCTGGTGTCATCATAGCCAAAGCAGATTTCATTTAACTTCTCCATGTTTCTATTTTGATCTTTATTAATAAAGTAGTATCTCTTTCAGACACAATTATGAGAGTTTCTATTCATCAAGTAAACACAGATGTTAATGTATTTTTTTATTTTATTTTTTTATTTCAGCTCACCTGAGAACGAACTTTTGCTGTTAGTCACGGTAACACTACAACTGTCATTTAATCATATTATTGTCATTTATTATACCAGTGAATATGATTCATTATATCACCAGCTGCATGTTTGTGATCAGCCTGTGCAGGATTCGCTTGACGGGGGTCTGCAGCCGGGGGTCCCCTGCAAACGGAGCATGAAGTGTGTGGCTAACCTGGTGCTGGTGGTGAACAGACTGAGCAAAGATCTCACCTGTTTTGCTTCTGACCTGAGAGAAGACAAGCTCTGCAGTGCCATCATGGACTGTGTGATAGAAGGTTGGTCACAGAGGGAGGAAACAATAACAAAACAGCCACGAGGGAAGTAAGGGAGAAATGGGTGCTGCAGCACCTCTGGGGGATGGTTGAAAACAAGAACATCCAAATTATATGATTTATTTTTAGTTAACAAAAGGAATAAGAACACAAATGCATCCATGCTGTACCTGTTTATGTTTAACTGCACTGATGTAAAAAAAAAGGGTTATTAGATCATTTTAGGTTTTATTATTAGTCAACACGTAAAAACACGACAACAGCTTAAAGTTAATAAACAAAAGTAACGAGTTTTTTATAACCAATTCACTAACAGTAAAATTTGATCAAACAGCTGTAGGTGAGTGGAGCTGAGACTTCTCGTTCTCAGGTGACCTCACCTGATCAAACAGGTTTAAAGATGAATGGGAGCGCAAAGCTCCTCCACTGAGACGGACAGAAACACCAGGACAGCTTTTCAACAAATATAATAATATAATCATCACTGTTAAAGAGACTAAAGATAAAAATCTTCAGGACAAGAGTTGAACGTTTTCACTTAAGAAAACATCAGAATACAATATGTTTTGTAATTCATCTGCATATATTGTTCATCTCTGCATGTCCTGATGGGAGGGTGCCACACAGCTGAAGTAAAGAACCAGGGACACACAATGCCATAAAAAACAGCCTCACACCACAACCCCACACCAGCTTCCAGACCGGTTCATTCTAGTTTGAAAGAGGGGTTTATGACTGTATAGTGGTGACAAAACTTTTTATTTACAAAATAATTAAAAATGTTGACAACAGAAGACTTGCCCATCCAGCCTCATGTTGGAGCCAGAGTCTGACCCAGAGCCAGAGGAGAATGAAGACGATGAAATTATAGTTGTAGTTCCATAACGTATTTTGGCAGTTCCACCGCAAATACTGTGACTTAATAGTTCAGGAAAAAAAACCCAAAATATACAGATATCTATGCAGCACCAAGAGAGACTAAATTAAACATTTCTACACTCCAAGTACACAACAAAATGTATTTATTGGCTTAAAAAAGTGGATTTTGCCAGATAAGCCCATTTTAAAGGCAGATAAAATACTCAGTACTTGAATTAAAATGTGTCTTTAGGCGCTCTGAAGCCTTTAATAGAAACTCAGCATTTAAACGTGTGGTTAAACAGGCTTCATGAACTGCAGCACGCAGCACAAGATACAGTGGGGAAAATAAGTATTTAGTCAGTCACCAATTGTGCAAGTTCTCCCACTTAAAAWGATGAGAGAGGCCTGTAATTGACATCATAGGTAGACCTCAACTATGAGAGACAAAATGTGAAAAAAAATTAGAGAAAATCATTTTGTCTGACTTTTAAAGAATTTTTTTGCAAATAATGGTGGAAAATAAGTA